TTGCTCAGGCTGGTCTCAAACTCCTGAGCTCAAACAATCCGCCCACCTCGGCCTCCCAGAGTGCTAGGATTACAGGCGTGAGCCACCGCGCATTTTGAAAAGAAACAATTGAAAACCTGAAAGAACAATAGCAATAAAGATGATCTAGAAAGTTAGCAGCCGAGGATTTTTTTAATGACTAGAAAGTAAGTTTCTAAAAATAGAGGTTGTATTTATACCAGAAAAGCAAGCAACAATCAGTACTTGTATCTGGAATATGCACTCCAAGATGGATTTGATGTGTTTGTTATAAGCCTGAGGCAACAAGAAGTACGCAAAGAAAGATAAAACCACACACCAAAAAGCAAAAACACAAAAGAAAAAAAAATCCCACACACTAAGAAATATTTCTGTGCTTCTTATGTCAAAAATAGCCAATTTCTTCTTACCAGTTGTTTTAGAAAGTGTTCTTTTCCAACAACGTTAAAGCAAGAAAGGAAATATTTATGAAAAAGGAACACATTTTCAAATATTTGCCATAGCTCCAGAGAATAGAGAAAAGGAAAGGGCTGGGAGGAAGGGGGCAGTAGGAAGGAGAAAGCTTTTTATTTTAGTCCAAACATTTACATCCTGTGGGAAATTCACCTTTACGCTCTCCTAGTCTCCAGAAATTAGTCCATAGTATTCTCTTTGGTTTACATCCCCTCACCACCTCTAGAGAATGTTCACAAGATCTATTGTTCCAGCTTTTCCATGATTGTGCATAAAAGGCACTGCAATGCCAGCAATGCATTCTGATACCCAACTAGGTGAATTATTTTAAAAAGAAGCTTGTTCTTTAGATTAGATTAGACACAATGGTACAAAATAATCCCAGCAGGTGCTTTAGAAAGACTAAATCCATTGAGGATAGGATTTAAAAGGGAGAAAAAAGACACTGAAAAACTATTTTCTATCCCCAAATTAAAAAAAAAAAATCGCACCAAGCAATATTTAGCTTTGGATCAGGATATGGGACTGAAATTGGTTGGGCTCCCCAGGGCCGTAAGAGAGACTGTCAGATGTATTTCTCTGAATGTGAACATTGGCAATAATATTACAGTTGTTCTGACCCAACTCCGTGACCTGGCTGGGTTAATGATTTCTTTTCTCCTAATCATGTTTCTGTGAAGGAGTTTTTTTCGTTCTAGAAAGGTTCTTTGCTCCTCAGAAACAAAAGCCTGCTCTATTCAGATTCCTCAAGGTTTGGTGGTGTCTTTCTCCTGTGCAAGCACAGCAAGGTCTCCAGGACAACAATGGTCTTGCTGCTTTTATTCAGGCTCACAGACTGGGCAGTAAGTTCTGATGACAATTGCTGCTTTGCTGTCTTAGTCATTTACAATACTGCCACCTTTTTTCTTTTATTTCTTTTTCTTTTTTTTTTTTTTTTTTGGCCAAACATTATCATAGCAACAGCATAGGGAGGGGTGGCTCATTTGCAGTTCCCCACTGATAATTCTACAACCCAGTCTTGTAATTATATCATGAAGGACAGACACGGGCCAAAAAGGCAGGGATCGCAATTGGAAAGTGAATAAATGCCCCTCTCTTTGGGAATTCTTTTAGTCTCCATCTTGTTCCATTTACATCCAGATAATAACTTTTCTTCTGGAACTCCAAACCAACAGACTATTTTTTTTTCTAAACACAGCTTCTTTTTTCTAAGACTGATGACCATAGATTAACAGCCAGATTATTTCTGCCTCTTCACAAAGCAACATTCAGCTAGCACAACCACCTGCTATAGAAGCAAGGCTACTTATCTGTCCCCTACATAAGCCACTTTTATCAGATAACATTCCATTTAAAATCCTGGACTTATTCTCCAATACTGTGATTGAACCCTCAGGGATATAGGAAGTGAACAGTTTCTTGTTCTTTAACATAGGGGGTAGACATGAGGATTATATGGGTAAAAGTATAAAAATAGTCCATGCCGACCCCTTAGGCTCTATAAAAAGAGTAACATTTTAGGTTCACCATCAACTAAATCAAATATTAATAAGATAATTCAACTTAAAAAGAATCTTTATACATGGAGAAATACATCAGCCCTCAAAGCCTACAGAAATGGAGAAAATTTGCTCTACATGAAGCAGGTGACCTGAATTTTCAGTTCTGAGTGGTGGAAAAGTGAGGAGGGTAAAAGAATTAAGGTTCTGTGGGAACAGATGCATGATACTCACAGGCAAAAGAACTTCATTCAACAGAATTAATCAAATCTCCCTTGTGACTATGTCCACATTCCACATTCCTGATTGCGTATTGCTCAGTTCCCAACACTTGGCTATAGCTGAAAGCTTTTGCTACCTCCTCGCTTTGCTCTGTCGTCTCCTGGTGACCCTCCCAGTGGCTTGGCTGCAGCCCCAGGGCGCAGAGCTCTGATCCAGGCTGAATAGCCATAGAACAGTTGATTCTGCTTCTAACCCTGTGATCATGCTCAGTTCTTTTCTCTGCCTAGCGCCACATTGTGCTTCGGACAAAAGTAAAAAGACTTCAAAAATACTCAGTCATTCAAAACTAATGCTTACACACAATGACTATAAAAATATTCCTGGAATATACAAATGTTTTTCACTGATCTCCTTAGAGCTACAATCTTCTAACAATCTTCAAACATATTTTGCTTCAAAGGCCATGTTAAAATTTTAAGTTTCTGTACTCTCTTAATTCTCCTCCAATGCAATATTTTCATAATTCAATGAGATTAATAGGGTAAACACTCCATTTGTTTTGAAATATATCTTTACATTCCATGCATTAGCTGGAAGGTAAGATCCTAAACACCAAAGAAACAAAAGGAAATTATATTTGTGTTGTAAATGCATTTACATAAGTTTTGAACTAATGTAGTTTCCTGATATTTTTAGGCTCATAGAACATTCTCACAGCTTAATTTATGTAACTGTTAGTTTTGTAAATAATGTCAAAAGAAACATTGCTATTATTTACTCCAAACCAATGAAATTTATTCTTACTATAATGATTTTGATGTTTAAATAATCCTTAGTGGGTTTTCTTGCAACTGTCACTTCCAACTAAATTTTACTAGGTAAATAAAACGCATTTAGAAAAAAATCCCACTCTTCTCCATGATTACAGTTTTTCAAATACCTGGAAAAAGCAAGGCATATCCACAAAGTTATAATGCCTTAACTAGAACAGTAAGTATTACAGAGGGACATGCATCAAAGAAAATTTATCCATGGCATCATGATTTTAAACATCTTTGCTGTATATTTTTCTTTTCAGATGTTGGGGAAATTTTAAGGAACTTGCAAGGTCCTTTAAAATGTAACAGAATGTCTAGTACAGTTGATTTCATTATCTTGATTTCTCTTTCCCTGCCTTTAGAGTATCATTTTACCCCCTGGAAATGTCTTACTTATTTCTATATCTAAGTTATTTTTCTTTCTCATGGGAAGGTGAAAAAAAATCAGTGAATCACTGTTTGTTAATACCCTTGGAGCTTTAGTTGAAAGGCCCTTTGAGAAGCAAGGTACTATTCTTTGGTACCTTATGGTGCTATTACTTCCTTAGTAATTTGAAGTGGCTCCTAAGACTCAGCATCTGTTTTTTATGACATTAGGCTAAATCTAGTAGTCACCTTTGCTAGAAACCTGTTATGTTTAAGTCATATGAATAGTAATCAGCCTGATGGAGGGGATCACACCATATTTCTTATTTCAAGTAGAGCATATCACATTGGATCATGGTTACTCACATTTGTCTAACACTTTGCTTGATACTTAACCAAAGTACTAAGCACAGTGCTTAAAGAAATTAATGCACCATACAAACCACCAGGTCTGGAGATATCAACTTACCAGCCAGCATATGCATACATTCCATAATAAAAAGCTAGGGGCAACCCCATAATACTAGCATCTCTTCCTGAAAAGGCATCTTTAAAGTGCTGTGTCTGACCTGCAATCAGAATAAGAAGATTTTAAGGTTTTTCAAAGAATGGGTTATTATTCTCTCTTTAACCACAAATATGGGGAAGGGGGTGTGAACCATACTGTTTTAGGTCTAGATTTCTTACTCTCTGCTCATTACCAACTTTATCTATTAATACTGTACCCATTCCAGAGGAGTCCAAAAAGTATATTGATCACTAGTAACACTATTTCACACTTCTCTTTTACTAAAGTTATAGCAAAGATGAAAATGGCATTTTAAAAAAAATCCCTTGTTTGAGTGTGCCTCTACTATGACCATGAGAGAAGACTAAAAAATCTTCCATAATCTATAGTCTTTAGGAATGTGATAGAATTATTAAAGATAATGCACTGCTCGAATGCAAAGAAATATCCAAGAGTCTCTCCTTAATGAGGAGGTGGCAAGAAACCTCAGAACTACTTTCCCACATCATTTAACTTGCTGCTTTCTGTTTATCAGGTGTAGTTCAGTTTATACCTACCTCCTAGAACATGGGTTTGAAAACACTGAGGACCACAACTGCCACCCCAGCCTGCTAATCTCTCTTATAAATACTCTTGTAAATAAAGTTTTATTGGAGCATAACAAGGCCAATTCATTTAAGTATTGTCCATGGCTGGTTTCATCTTATAACAACAGAGTTGAGTAATTTCAACAGAGACCTTATAACTCATAAAGTTAAAAATATTTACTATCTGGTCCTTTACAGAAGAAGTCCACTGACCCTGTGACCTTGTCCTAGAGAATAGCGTAGTTTCCTTGTAGAAACATCAAAAAGATATTTACACTGAATTTCAAAATAAATAGGTTTCAAAATGTTGTATCAATATGTGGATCGAATGCTTTTATTCATCACATATTAATATTTTTCTATTTTGTGAATACAGTGGATCTTTTTCTTACATATCTTTTGGATAGTTTAAAAAGTTAGAAATTCAGATTTACTTTGGTCAGTTAATAGACAAACTTAAGCATAAAAAAGGCTTTTATTTCCCAAAGAAACAAGCAATGAGATTACCCAAATGGGATATGTTTTCATAACTTTGTTTTAAAATAGATCTTTATGTAATTAAATGAAAGGAGTACAGGAGGTGGGTGAAGTATTTGAGATACTCTATCTTCACGGTCAAATCTTAGTTGTTGCTTTCAGCATCCAAGCACAACATATATTGATAATAACATGTGTGAATAGGATGACCAAAAATGGAGAATGTTGAGTTACACACTAGAGCATTTTTCCCTCAAAGTAAACTATTCCCAAACATAGGTCATTTTTAAAACAGTAGCGTGAATTCAGAAATCGCCATTTTACTAAAACATTTCTGTGTACTTATAGGAAAAAAATATAAATACTGAAATTCAGATAAAAACATCTGTTGAATATTCTTTTTTCATGATTTGTGGTCTCTCTGGCATAACGGGGGAATATTTCTAAGTATAGAACCAAATAATTAATAAGAAAAATCAAACTCTGTAAAACTGAGTCACAAGCACCGATCTTCAAAAGTGCTATTTTGAAAGTACCACAAAAGAGAAGCATCTTATTTCTAAACTTCAGCAATATTTTGTCTGCATAACAGAGGTCTCAGGAAGACCAAGGTCATAATACTCAAAGGGAAGTTCAACAAATACTTATAAGTGAATACAACTATGTTCAGGGTCCGATTAGAGTAGAAATAAATGCACAATCTGTTAGTAAAGTCTTTGTCTTCCTAGAGTTTCAGATTGATGTAAAAAGTATGTGATCATATTAGAGATAATCACAATTTTATAGTAATAGAGCAAATACATCTGCTAAGAACGGTCTCTAAAATATTAAAATTTACATTAAATATGGTAATGTTCTCAGGGAATTTCTCCATTGGGTGACATCATGAAGAAGCCTGGTCACGTTAAGCATTGACATCATAATTATTAATTAACGTATCCCTCCCTTGTAAATGCCAACAAATTTCAAGAGATACATCATGATCTCTGCTCTTGAGAGATTTGCAATATAACATTTGGGGAACCAAACTTTGATTTTTGCACACATATACGGAAGTCGCAAAAATTGACTATAATACTCCCTATAGTGTCTTACAACAAAAAGAAAAGGAAAGAAAATAAATCTTAATTTCAAGGGATAGTATGTCATCTTTTCGAATCTAAACTAGAACAAAGGAGGGCCAATGACCTAGAGATTCCACTCTCCTTACAGAAGACTAAAGATTTAGCCAGAAGAAAGAAAGCACCAACAAAACATGTTTGCCTACATCCCAAACAAATACAGAATATGAGCAGGCCAGCTCTGTGGAGGGCAAGGTGAATTAGAAGAACAAACTCATGTCTTCTCTTCACTGCAAGCTCTGGTGCTCATAATCTTCATTGTGTTTATTTTGAGTTGGCTGAGGTTGCTGGATTTGATAAAAGCATTTCCGCCAGCAGGGCTCTAAGATCTCCCACTAGGCTTATTAAACGGGCAACAGCATCTCCCTTTCCCAGCTACAGAGTGACTGATCTTTCAATGTTTGTTATTGTTTAATGCCTCTACCAACAGCGATGATTTTGCTGAACTTTGGCATTTCCTTTTGCCTTGTGTAATTCTTCTCTTGCAATGTCATGAAATTTCTCTATAAATTCCCTTTCTTGGAACAGACAATATCAATGTAAACACTAAATATTTAGCATGCCCAAGTTATATGTCACTCTTTTACAAATTTTTTCTCACGTTCCTGTTTATTTCCTACTATTATGGCCATTGCTAATTAAAAATCTCATGTGGACCTCTTTCTCTTCCAACAATTTCCACTGAATCCAAGGAATTGCATGGGCCTTCTTCACTGAAACAACTGAAACTCTAAATTTCACCACTGAACTTCTTTTTTTTATTATACGGTAAACTTTGTAAAGCAAATAATCTCAGAAAATGTTACATTTCTGAAGAAATGCAAAATTTATATTAAAATGATGCAGCAATGAAAATTAGGTTTTTTGCAACTATTTTTATGGTCATATAATATTAATATTTAGTTTTCAGGAATGCTGTTCCCATATCTGACTCCTCTTCTAAGAATACCACTCTCAAGGTAAAAAAAATGATAACCAGAAAGCAAAAAAAATTATTGATCATGTTTTATTATTTTCCAGATATCTTTTTTATTTTAATTTTTATTACTTTTATTAGACAATTTTAAAGTAGAAATAAAAGGACATATTTATCTGTAGTTAAAACTAAATGGCAGATTTTTTTTTCCACTTTGAGTTTTCACTCCAAACAGTTTGTACTGAGAGAATTCACTGATGCCTTATTTTGTTGCTTGGCCCAGTCTTAATCCTCTTGCTGCCATTCAACTGTAAATACCAACTCACCCACAATGGAGCAGCATTTCAAATCAATTAGATGACAGTATAGAATTTAAGTTCCACAAGCAGAGACTATTTAAGCACTGTGCTAATACAAGCAAAAGTTAGTGTTAAAAGAGACCAAAAGCAGATAACGTATTTTAAAAAGCATTTACTTTTCAGTCCATACCTTTAATTAGCTGCATAACTCCAGGGACTATAATTATCAGAATTGCTGTGAGCTTGCAAAAGGTTAGGAGAATCTGGATCCGGGCACTCCAGCTGACACTCATGCTATTTAGGACCATCACTGCAGCTGCAAAGGAATAGATGTAGTTACAAAAGGTGAATTCTCACTGTCACAAAGTCATCTTAGGTCCTTGTTCCTCAAAGTGTTATGAATCAGCAGTGTTGGCATTACCTAGAAGTGCTTTAGAAATGCAGAACCTCAGGCCCTGCCCCAGACCTAAGGAATACAAGTCTACTCTTCAACAAGCTCTCCAGGAGATTTTTATGGACATTATTAAAGTTTGAGAAGCTTAAATAAAAATTCCTCTCTTGTTCTTTATGTATGTCAATAAGAGTGGACATACATTGCAGTACTCTAATAATCATATCAAATATCTTCTAACCAAACCCTAAAGTCATCACAGCATGCAATCAGATTGCTGATATTGACTCTTTAGCTTACTATGGCAACTATTTCCTAGTTCACACCTGCCAATGTGAATCACACTCGGGAAGGGGCAAGAAGAAGAGAAGTTGGCTAAAATCTTATTCTTCATTCTCAGGACTAGCCTTAGCCGCACTTTTCTTTTTGGTTTTCCTTTCCACGTTCCAATTAACACATTAAGCAGTGACTTTCAATCTACCATACACATATAGGCTTCCAAGACATGTTTTGGGGCTTGAGTAAAATATCATAAAGTGATAAGCCCAAAAGAGTGCCTCCCAAACTAGGATGCACTCTGGGTTCAAAGCCAGTAGAATTTTCCATTCTTAATGATGCTGTCTACAGTATCCCAAGCAATAATCACTATCCACCCTCTCCATCTACTGGACCATGAAAACCTAGAAGATAGAACAAGAGATATTTATCTCTGTATTGCTAGTATCCAGCTCCATGCCTGGCCCAGGTAGATTATTAACACATTTTTTGTTGAATGAATGAATGAATGAACTGGATCTTAGTTAGAAATTCTAAGGCACAAGGTGAATGCTGGTGCTCTAAGACCTTCTTTTTCTACTCTGCTGGAATGTCTGAGGTTAGTCTAGATAGTGGATTTCAACTTTATGCTCTTTCCAAAACCCCATGTTTATGGTTAACAACAACAAAAAAGCTACTTCATTCCTGACACTTGCAGTTATTATCTACAAACTTTATTTTTATAAAGGTATATTCCCCTAAACAAATATCAAAAATGTATAAAGATATTTCTCAGGGGATGAAACAAAACACAGAATTCTCATAACTCAAGTTACAATTGGAAGTTTTCCTATGTACAGTAATAAGAGTTATCTTCATAGTTTCCATTGCCTGATATAACCACTAGCTCATTTCAGAATTTAAGAATCAGTGCAGTTATCAACACATAATGTATAATGGCAAAAATTTTAAAACAACACAGACCCCTAAAGGAAGGCTAATTATGGTATGTCCTTTTAATGGTTTATATGCAGCCATTTAAAATTATGGTGGAGTTCAATATGTGTCCATGTATATTACTAATACAGCAAGTTACAGAGAGATGGATGGATGGATAGAGAGAAACAGAAAGAAAAAAAGAACTGAAAGAATATTTATCAAAACATTACTAGCAGGTATCTATAGATGATAGAATATCAAATAATTTTTAAATTTTTTTATTTATTTTTCTTAATTATTTTAACAAATTTTATAATGAACATGTAGCATTTTGGTGACTATAGTTAACAACACTGAATTGCATACTTGAAATTTACTTAAATGTTCTCATTACAAAACAAAACCAAAAAGAAAAGGTGGGGGGTAACTAGGTGAGGTGATTGATGTATGAATCAAGTGAAAACTCAATGGTTTCCACAAAATATATGTATACCAAATCATCACATTGTACACCTTAAAAATCATTTTATTGTCCAAATATACCTCAATAAAGCTGGGAAATTTTAAAAACTAAATAAGCAATGAAGCACATTTTATTTCATTTTATTTTTATTTTTTAGTCTTAGTCATTCGACCAAGCACATTTTTGACAAAAATTCAAAGATAGGAACAAAAAGAATCAGAAGATCCCATACAAAGTGTAATGGGGGGTTACTAATGAAGAAATATTTCAAAGGCGTACAGATGAGACTGATCAGAAAGGCCAAAGCCCTGAATAAGCTACAGGGGAAGCTAAGAGGGCATATTTTATCTATGTTTGAAACTGAAAACAGGAAGGAATAAATAGGTCCATTGTCAGTGGCAAGGTGCATTATTTTATCAGAGAAATGACAAAAATAAAATTAAGTCTCTACAATATAAGACACTTATATATTGAAAATAATTTAGTGTAATTCCTCTGCCCTCTTCATCATCCAGTGAGTCCTTTCCTTTTTTATGCAAATGACTGTGTGATGAGTCATCATATGAAAATGATTATTTTTTTAATTAAGGAGGTTCAACATTAGCATGAAAGTGAAAAAAATTGGTCTCGTGTTCCCACCAGCAACAAAAGAGCACTGTTTTCTTTAAATAGAGCTCCTAAAACCCACAGCATTCTCTATTTCTGAAAGTACTCTGCAATAGGAATGAGCTGTGGTGTAGAGAGGAAGAGAGAAAAAGAAAAAAGAAAGAAAGAAAAAAAGAAAAAAAAGAGGTAGGCAGGCACTCAGGAAGAAAGCAAGGAAGGAGAGAGAGGGAGGCATTCTTATTTTTGGAACCCCTAACCATCTATACACTTAAAAAGAGAAAAGAGGGTTTGTTACTTTCACAAAGAATATAAATACCCAATGCCTATTGAAATTGAAAAACAAATAGGTATTTGGGATTTTATTTTATATTTTGTAAAGTTTTCTTAGTCAAATGGAAGAAAAAATCAATCAAATATTATGAATATTTATGAACAATCTCACTTTACTTTCCCCTCAGTTGAAATAAAAATTCTGGTTAAGATGCTAGTGGGAATGTAAATTAGTACAGCCACTATGGAAAACAGTATGGAGGTTCCTCAAAAAACTAAAAATAAATCTACCATATAATCCAGCAATCTCACTGCTGTGTATATATCCAAAAAAAAGGAAATCAATATATCAAAGAGATATCTGCATGCCCATGTTCATTCCAGCACTATGCACAAAAGCCAAGATATGGAATCAACTCAAGTGCCCATTAGCAGATGAATTAATAAAGAAAATGTGGTATATATATGTACAATGGAATAGTACTTAGCCATAAAAAAAGAATAAAATGCTGTCAAAATAGCTAGAAGAGAAGATTTAGAATGTTCCCAACACAAAGAAACAAGTGGGAAACGTGATGGATATCCCAATTATGCTGATTTGATCATTATACATTCTATGCATGTATCAAAACATCCCACACACTCCATAAATATGTACAATTATTATATATCAAAAAGTTTTTAAATAAAACATGTGCAAAATATTTTTAAAAACAATTCATCAAAGAAGATATATAGATTACAAATAAGTACATAAAAAGATGCATCATTTGTCATGAGGGAAATACAAATTAAAAATACAACGAGATATCACTACATACCCATTGGAATGTCTGAATTTAAAAAGACTGAATGTATCAATTATAGACAAAAATGTGGAGCCAACATACACTTCTGGTGGGAACATAGAATGGTACAACCACTTTGGAAAGATTTTAGCAGTTTCTCTAAAAGTTAAACCTACCTACCATGTGACCCACACATTCCACTGCCAGGTATTTACCCAAGAGAAATGTCAGCATGTGGCCTTACAAAGGCTTACACTTGAATATTAACAGTGGCTTTAGCTTTAGTAGCTCAAAACTGAAAACAACCCAAATGTTCATTAACATATGAAAGGATAGACAAATTGTGGTATACCTGTATAATGGAATACTACTCAGACATTAAAAGGATTGAACTATTGAGATATAACAATGATGTGGATGATTCTTGAAAAAATTATGCTGGATAAATAAGCCAGAAGCCAGACAAATAAGAGTTCATGCTCTATGATTCCAAATAAAATTCTAGAAAAGAAAAACTATAGTGACAGAAAGATCAGTAGTTGCCTGGGATGAGGGAATTGGGAAGGAAGGAGAAAGAGATTGGAAAAGGGCCCAGTGAGAGTTTAAGGGATGATTAATGTATTCAATATCTGGATTGTGGTGGTGGTTTCACAAGCATATCCGTACTACATCATACTTTATCAAATTGTACATTTTAAGTGTGTGCTTTATTGTATGTTAATTATACCTCAATAAAACTTTACAAGACAGATTTCTCTCAAAGGTTTCTCTAAACCCTGTTGTATCTGAGCATCCAGACCTCGCACTCATTATTTGGTACACGAAATTCTGAGATGCACCTACATGACCCTCAAGGTACAGCTTAGCAAATAAGAAGGCAGCCAGTACAGAGGCACAGTGAAGCTCTCAAGTGTCTATAGCTGCTGCTTCATCACGTGTCTTTTCAGCAAAATTTAAGTCTACATATGTTGCTTATCCAACAATATTAAAAAGAGATTTGGGATTCACTAAATGCAAGAGTTTTCTGACTTCCCAAAACAAATAATATCTACTTTTTTTTAATATACCCACATTGTAATAATCAAAGAAATCTGAGCCAGCTCTCCAGTCCTAGCTTTACTGCCTTTGAATTATAATTGCTAATTTTGCACAAGAGGAAATAATTGTATCAGTTTGGGCTTACTTTTTTACTTGCCTTAAATTTTACCAAAATAAAAATACAGGGTATATAGTTTTTATTTACTTATTTATAGTGCAGTTTCCTAAGAACTGAAAAGCAGCAATGAAAGCTGTATCTATAAATCCTGGAGATAAGAAATACATATTTGAAGGGAGCTGTATTTGAAGAGGATGTTTAGGGGAATGTTAAGGACTGAAGCTGTGATTTAAGGACTGGCAAGTATTTCTTTCCGCACTCTGTGTAATTCAAGTCTGCCTTTGGTTTTGAAGAGTGAGATTACAGAGTCTGGATATATTGGGTTTTCTCCCCAGGTTCAGATTCTTCTTGGATTCTGACTTCTGACTGCTTCATGCTAAACCAGTAAAATATATGGATGCTATACACGTGTGCTTCATGTTGAGATGTGAGTTGTTCCACTGCTTTT